GCGTCTCTATTTGTGGTGCCTCTATATGTCTCAAACTGACTTAATAACTTTGATAACTATGCACGTTACATGCAAATAGCTAACACACGCCTTATATGATGAAAATGGCTCCAAGTACATTCCACATGGGCCCCGATCGAGCCAGCACTTTAAAATGGGTGGTGGGGAGGCGGGGCGAGTGGGAGCGGGTGAGTGTGTGGCGGTGGTTGCGGTGGAATCCCACGCTGGCCGTCGTTAATGGTCTGCTCTCCAAAAGAAATGAATGAAAAGAAAATAGGAAGAAAAACTTCATATAAAATCACTAGGTACGCCAAATGAAACACCGCTTAACGCCAATTTATGCAAAAACGCCCCAGCTCGAATGACATAGAGTATTATGACGCTCCTATTTGCATCTCTCTCTAAATGGCGATAAATTTGTGTCTGACGAAGGCCGCTGCCTGCGGCCTCGGCTCCAATTCCGCAGCTGGGGCACAACTTTGAGTCTCTTGGGTTCTCCAGGCCGTTGTTCCCACTCATCACGCTCTTTCCAGGACCAGTCGACACATTTACCAGTTACCACAGCGTGCCATGGCCACTTCCGTCGCGATGCTTACGTATGAATCACGACGTCGACGCCCACATTGATCTAGTGAGTTACGACCATTTCCAGCTGACGAGGATCTATCGGCCGGCAACAGCTGATCGTCCCAGACAAGGTACAGTAGCCGTGTGAGTAATATCACCGGATGAGCACGTATCGCTTTGTGTATACTTTATAGCTCTACTATGGAGTAGCGAAACGTGATAGTGATCCGCCGGCAGTCTCATCTTCTCTATTGTTGTGCACCGATTTGCGACGGGACAACGCAATGGTAGTAGAACTTGATTTGTTTATGGGCAGTGCATAAAAAGTAGCCAATGATTTCTGTGAATGCCCTATTAATATTATATACGAGTATGTGCATTACTAGAAATTATATGACTTTTAATGCCCGCACTTGTTGGGTCCCAGAGTGTGGTATCATCCATGACCATTAAGTCATCCACCACGGCGTAGCCAGGCGACGCCTCCCTGATATTTGGGGCAGCAGGGTGATGAAATTGTAATTATGGGTTGCTTGTTTATTTCTACATTTGCAGTGAATTTCACAATATGAGAACAATATAGGTTCGTATGCGAGCTCAATATAATTTAACTCGCGTTCTCGTTGAAACGTGCTTCCTGAAGGTAATAAGCACTGCCCAACTTATTTCGCCGCGTTTCATGTCTAACATTGTCCCATCTGTGTGATGGCCATTGATATCGATATGGGCGGAGCGGTGGGCGCGTCCCGCAGATCGCCCGGGCCCTGCCGGAGCGGTCGTACAGAGGCGCTTCAGCCTTTCACACGGGCGCAGCACGTGTCGGGTCTAATATCTAAGGCTAGAATCATCCCTAATCGTTGTGACCACTAACTGTATAACAAAAAAGTAAACTAATGAAGGAGTATATGCTCTTAGCCCTTGACTCCGTAATTACATTGCATCGGTAGTACGACTCCACAATTGCAATACATGACAAGTGACGAGCGCCGAGCTGGCAGCTAGGTAGCCGTGCTGTATCGGGGCCAGTTTTACGATGCTGTTGTTTTTAATTTATTACCACCGTGCTGCACTATATAGTTTACACTTCCTAGGGCGGGTGGATTGAGGCGAGGTGTACATCTCGGGGCTATCTGGAACTTATCCGAGCGTCCCGCCTGGTAGAAGTGCACGGCCCCGCGCTCGTCTGTGTTGTTACTGCGTAGTTCGGTCGGTGGCGGCGAGATTCACTACACCCAGGAATGTTCTGTGACGCGGCCCCTCCTCGTACTAAGTCGAGCCTTGATGCGTATGCCTCTGCTGCAGGGCCTGCCCCCGTACTATACTGTACAGTGGCTCCTACCCAGCTGCTTCGTACAAATATAGTGTGGACAAATTCACAATACAGAGTCCCCTCTGCTAAAACGCCTAATCCTGCGATTGGGCATATATTTATATGCTGCATCCTAGCAACCGTCGTCGCGACTCGTAGCCTGCTATATACCGTAGTATGATATATATAACATGAAATCACATAACCCAAGGTACCCATTAATCGGTGTACTTATCGGAGGGAGAAATCATAGTGTTTACTTGTGACAACAAAGACGTGCCATCTTAGGGTTGCTAGTCGCGTATCTGACCGAATCATGTACACCGTGGCTATAGATGCAGATTACAGAAACCACTTAATTATGCCTCAAAAATAATGCGACCAATGCTCCTGTCCACTTCATTGATTGGCGCCGGTGCGTTCTCCCAATAGCGAATTAATAGATCTTATACGAATACATTCCTTAATGTGCTCGCACGAAACAATCATGTCTTGATCAGCCTAATCGCTCATAGCGGTCGTATGTCCCGCGCCCAGCTGACTGCTGCGGGCGGCGCTGCTACTGGCCGGACGACCGGGTGACCCTGGGGTACGCCCCGGTCCGCTGGACACCCCGGAGCCGTACCACACTGCGCGTCACCTATTTGTCCCATGCGTTAGCCTGGCGAGGGGGTGGGGGGTGGGGATTTAGCG